GTCTCCCCTCTAATTTAAAAGGCTGGTGCCTTCATGCCACACTCCCTAATAGTCTGCTGAAGGACTGGTTGAATCCTAAGGTCTCCTGGTTATTGTGGCTACTGAGGGAGGAAGCAGGTTAGTGTTAAGCCAGGTGATGGAGACTGGGGTGCTTCTAAAGATCCAGAGCCCATATACTTGCCGGACGTTCCTTATCCTTCCTATATAGTCTATATTTCTTTGCTCCAAATAAACTGCCATTCCATGCGTTATCATTTCCAGAACTTTCCCTGGAAACAAACTTGACAAAACTTTTATACTTTGGGCTGTTGTGAGAATGCTAGACTCACTGGAGAAGACCATCAGGTCAAAGGCAGAAGAAGACAAAGAAGACAAATATGAAGGGATTGACTGCATAGAGAAGTCCACAGCCTTGGACTTACAAGAGCTGATCTGTTAAGGTCGGGACATTCTGGAGAACCTTCATTCGCAGGGTGGCCATGAGAGATGACACAGAACAACCACCAGGGTGGTATCTATAGAAGCCACGTAGTACAAACAGAACAGCCTGCTGGGTGCAGAATCTTTTTCGCCATCAAAACATTTCGGAAAAGCTTTTGGGGGTTGCCCTCTCGTGGGCGGAGCTAAAAGCCAATGGTGTGGGTCTAAAACAGCAGAAATACCAAATAAGCATATTTTGTGCCTTAAGAGGGAGATTTTAACCTTTTAGAATGGGGAGAAATGTGGGAGGTTGCCCAATGGTGGATGATTGTGGGAAAGGGGTTCAGACAGGGCCTTTCGCAGACCCCAGAGTGGCTGATTTGAACTTGCGTTCTACAGCCCAGTGTTAGATGGACTGACTGCTACATGAAGACAGTTAATCATCTCAGGAACTGCACTGTGAGCAGTGGCTTTAAATCAACTGCACACTTGCCAAGAAAACTGAGGCATATTGCCACTAAAAACTGAATGGGTGTTCCAGATATAGCTCTAATAATTTGGCGTCCTCCACAGGGCTTCTGCTGTGGATGAGAAACAACATGTGATTACAAGGTTGGGTTGCTGCCTTTGGATTGCAGATATATGCAAATGAGAACGGATGTAGGTACCCATTCCTCGCCTTCTGTACCTGCCTGGTGATTTTGCCAATGGCCATATAGGGAGAAATCCGTACCCAAGTTGCACGAAGGGTTTCCAATATAAAGCAGCATTTCATCCAGCCCGGATGAAAATCCAGTCAAATTGTTATTGTTGCTTCTTCCAGCCCTGCATTCTTGCGCTTCATCCTTGTGCCATGCACAAAGGTGATTTGTGAGGAAGAGTGAGATATAAATATATAAAATCACATATTAATGTATTGATTAATTTAGACCCCACCCTTTTCTTCCTGCAAGAAAACCAATGCAGCTTACATGTTCTCTGTTTTATCTTCACGACAACCCTGTGAGGTAGGTTAGGCTGAGAGCTTGTGACTGGCTTCAGATCACCCAGAAATTTCCATGGCAAGGTTGGAATGAGACCCCTACTCATCTCTGGAGCCCAAGTCCAGCAGTCTAGCTGCTACGTTGCATTGGCTCCATTCATTGCTGTATGCTGCTAAATCCTAGGAGTGAGACAGCATGAAGTGGAAAACCCAAAGATTGTTTTCAGACTGTAGCACTTTAAAAAAAAAAGATCAGCTTCTGTCCTTTTTAAAATGGATGTGAGAGATGATGTGAAGGGAAAGGATCTGCCCTCTGCTCCAACATACAGATTCAAATGGGCCAAATTTGCATCTCAGGTTCTCTTGGCCATAACCAAATAGGCCAAATTTGCACTGAAAGGGTTCATCTCTCAGGTTCATGGGCCAAATCCACCCCTAGACTGGGGTTTCCTCCTCCAGGATTCCCTAGACAGCCATGCCCCTTCCCAGTGGCCCACCCCATTGATCCAACTCCCCATTGACATGTGGTTTCCCCACTTTTGCAAAAGTTTTCCCCAGTTCAAAAAGTCTCTCTTATTTATTTATTTTTCGATTTATATCCTGCCTTTTTCCTACAAAGGGCTCAAGGCAGCTTACATTATTCTCCTCCTCCATCTTATCTGCACAATAACAACCCTGTGGGGTAGGTTGGGCTGAGTGTCTGTGACTGGCCCAAAGCCACCCAGTTGGCTCCATGGCTGAGCGGGGACTAGAACCCGGATCGCCTGAGTCCCAGTCCCATGCTCTTAACCACTACACCACCCTGGCTCTCTTATGGCTTAGTTATTTGCAGTGAGAGCTTCAACCAAAAAGGTGCTGGTAGTTTGGCCCTACCCCTTTCACCTTTGGCTCCACCCCTTTAGCCTGCAGCCCTCTTACAACTGCACTCCAGCCCCCAAGAGCTCCTCTGAAGCAAGTTACTTGGGAAGCAAGAACGAAAGGGACACAGAAAGTCGCTTGTTCCAGCAGGAAGGCATGCCTGTGGGAGAGTGAGACAACAGGAAGGAAAACGGAAATAGCAGTACAAGTTCTTTCTGCCCTTTGTGGTTCGGGCCAGAGAGCTTGTCACCCGACCGCACCAGAGCCTATGGATTTTTCACCTCTGGCTTCCTTCCCTTCTCTGCCAACCTCACTAACGTGGCAGTGGCAGGACACCCAGTGACAGTGGATGGTTGTTTTGGGTCAGAGGGAGTGACAGAGAATGACTCACTGGGGCTGGAGCCACAGGCCGTCCATCTGGATCCCCAAAACTCTGGGAGCCCCCGTTTTCCAGGTTCTGAGGATCTCTGTTGCACCTGATCCCCTTGGATCAGCAGGCATTTTGCCCAGATGTGCTGCACCTGCTTGCTGCCTTGTTCTTTCTGTCTGAGATACTTTCCCCTAAATCAGATGCCTTCCCCATCCCTGTCCATACATTCCTTTTTACACATAGGGGTCTCCTTAGGAGACAGGGTCCTTTAATATGATCTGTGTGCACGAGTTTGGTCCTGTGGGCTTGAACCTCTGGCTCTATTTGGTCCCTAGTGCCACCCGCACTTAGGTTCTGTTCAGTTCATGCCTGAGCACATGGTTCTCCCACATGGGAGTTCCATGGATTATGCATGTGTGGTAGCATCTGTGTTTCCCTTGGTCAGGAAAACAGATGCACTAAACTCACGGGGATGCCTCACCCCTCATGCCACTGATCAGGAATGCAACTGAAAGGACGGTTGCATCCAGGTAGATATTTATGAGAAGACCCATCATTACTGCAAAGGTTTGCTTAGAGGCCGCACTCTCAGAGCAAGCAATGGGCAAACGGCAGTTTTATAGTACAATGGCCCTTACGAGTTCAGTGGGACTTACTGAAGAATAAGGGAGAAGAGGGACTGCAGCCTCGGAATTGCTAAGATCATGGACTGGACTGGACCCTCTGTGGCTTAGACGTGACCAGACAAAGCAGCAGAGGATGCGTCTGCACCTCCGCATTAGCCAGAAGAGCTGCATCCCAGTGTTCAGGGCCACTGCTCCAACCTGGTGCTCCCAGATGGGCTGGATCACATCTCCATCTCCCCAGTATACTCAGCTAGCAGCCCATCCAGGATTGCAGAAGGCCACAGGTGCCCGCCAGGTGCAAGGGACAGAGGCCTGCAGGTGCGTCCTGTCTTAATGCCTAACCTGAGGGCTGTTAGAGCCAAATGCACCTTTATTCTGATCCAGCCCACAAGCTCTTCTTCTGGAGATGAATTTCTGTTTGAGGATATTCTTCCCCTTAACTTTTGCTTGCAACATTTCTGTTCTGCCTTGTTATGAGTTTTTTTCCTGCTTCCTCTGAGACAGGAAAAAAGAACCATAGAAGAACAGCATTTGAGGTCCATGAAAGTCTTGACAGCAGTGGCGAAGGAAAAGCCAAGCATGTGCTGTTCCCCTCCCCTTCATACTATCTTCACAACAACCCTGGGAGGTAGCTTTTCAAGTGTCACTGAAAAGCTCTAAGTCACCCAGTGAATTTCACGGCAGAGGAAAACTCACGTCTTCCTAGCCCAGTGCTTGATCCGCTATACTATGCAGGTTTCTTCCTTCTTTTCATCTTTCTTTGTTCACTTATCCCCCTCCCCCGCCACACACACACTCCTTTAATTGATTAGTATTGATTGGACTAACTGAACTATTTCTGAGTCAGTTCTGGGCAATGGTTGAACATCTGAAAGCGCATAAATAGCGCCAAGAACCAACATCCCCTGCTGGCTGGTGGGCGCTCCCAGCCCGCCGCCCCTCTCCGCCGCCCCCTCCCGCAGCACATGCGGCCTCTTTTCCTCTTCGCGGCGCTCCGCACAGCTGAGAATCCGATGAGTAATCGGCACGCCGCTGTGGGCACGAAAGCGGATACCTTCCCACATGCTCGCTCGCCCTCCTCTCCTTTCGCAGGCTGCCGGCGAGAGGGACGCACTACCAGCAAAGTTGCTTTGGACCCGCCTCGCCGCGAGGAGGAGGAAGAGGAGGAGGGGCGGGCCTGCGACTCCAGTGGGTGGGGCCTCGCTCCTGGCCCCTCCTCCTTGCTGTCTCCGTTCCCAGGCGGGTGATTCTTCGGCAGGCTCTTCACCCATCGCGGCTTTTCTTTTGCGCTCTGTCGGGAGCTCTCCGTGGTGGAGAACCCGCCCTGGGGATGGAAGGCGCAGAAAGCTCCACCGAAAAGCTGCAGTGGATGAGGAGCCCCAAGCACAGAGGCGTCTCCCAGCGCCCCCTTGCTATGCCGGGGTCGCGGTTCCCCCACCCACCCCGGGACTGCCGCCCCGCCTCCTTTCCTTCTTTGGGAGCGCGGGGAGGAGCCGCGGGTGGGCAGCGAGCGCGGGCAGCCGCGCTTTAAAAAGCCGGGCGGGCGGCGGGAGCCGGCTAGTCGCGGCTGCGGCGGCGCTGCTGCTGGCGGGGCGGGAGGGTGTCCCGCGCGGGCGAGGCGCAGCGACCCAGGCGCGCCGCGGGCTCTTGGGGCGCCGCTTCCGATGCTAGCCGCGGGAAGGGGCGGCGGAGGAGGGCGGCGCGGGGCAGGGGAGCCGCGCTGGGGGCGCAGGGGGGCTCCGCCATGCTGGAGAATGGCTCCTTGAGGAACTGCTGCGGGCCGGGCGGCCGAGGGGGCTTCGGCTTCTCGCAGGCGGCGGACGACGAGGACGAGGAGGCGGCGTTGGCAGCCGCGGCGGCTGGGGCCGCGGCCGCTGGCGGGGCCGGGGCCGCGGCAGACCCGCGGCCGGGCTGGGTGGTGACGACGCTGTCCAGCGTGCTGATCTTCACCACGGTGGTGGATCTCGTGGGCAACCTGCTGGTCATTGTCTCGGTGTTCAAGAACCGCAAGCTCAGGAATTCAGGTACCGCCCGGGGCGGGCGCGGGCGCGGGCGCGGGGGGTGCGGGGCGAGCGGGCGGCCGCGGCCGGCGAAGTTGCGGCGCGGGACGGAGAAGGCGGCCGGCCCAGCGGGCTCTCGCCTGGTGGACGGCGCTTGCTGGGCGCCACGGCCCCTCTCTCCTCTTGGGTGAGCGGACTTTCCAAGATCGGATCCTGTCAGTCCTAGAACTCCCAGTGAGGAATGCCGGAAGTTCTAGGACTTTTTCTCTGTCTCAGCATGGACAGAATTGCACCTTAAGAGAGGCTAGAAGAGCGCGTGGGGTCTGGAATGTGAACCGAGGGACCAGGCTGCTGGTTAGTTCTTTCCCGTTGGAGCGCCGGAAGAGGAGAGGTCTCTAAGTTTGTGAAATAGGAAGATCATGCCAGAGGGGCAAGACTCCTAGAGAAGTGCACAGGTTTGACTCTTCAGGTTGGTGTACTTGGAATATGCCCATTGGAATCAATGGGACTTTGGTGAGTCGTGACTAACTGAAGAGCCAATCCTTTGCATCCCACCCACCCCATCATTTATTTTAATGGGTCCTTAAAACCCATTGATTTCAATGGGTCTGCTCTCAGCGTGGATCCAGATTACAATAGCAACCAAGCTCATGCCCTGAATTTCCAGCTCATCTGCCAGCTTTTTGAGAATGCCCATGAATGCTAGGCCCCCTAGCACCAGAGTACATCCGACTTCCCAAAGATGCACCATATTTTAGTCCAGGTCCCAAATTGCCACCCCACTTACAAAACAAATGCACCCTTTCCCAAAGCCCTTTTCCTCTTTCACAGCTTGCAAACTTTCTAACCACTTCCGTCCTACATCTATTATGTGGCAGGGTTTCTACAGGTTTCATTGGACCCTAAGTCCCAAACCGGCTGGCTTGGATCTAGATATCAAATTGCAGAATTCTACAACTTTGCACTGGTGGTCCTGTATTCTGTGCATGTGCTATCCTGTACCCAAAACTATATAAGTTTTGAATCGAATCCAGAAGGTAGCCCAACCTATCAATTGAACTTCACACCTATAATATACATTACTTTGATAGATTCCACCCCCCCCCCCCCCTGCCGTCCCTTCCTGGTTCAAATCTGTAGATAGCTAAACTGTTGGACACTCTTTTGTAAGTTCAGGGGTGAGGGGAGCAAGGGGTAGAGGAAAGAATGGCCATGTTCTAACCAGATTTCCATGAAAATTGAACTTCTATTGTCAATGGAACACCTTTTTGTTGTGTAAGGTCACCATTCCATCAGTGTTAAATAGTAGGTGTCCATTAGCCATTTACCAAGATGCAAGTTCCCCTCATTTTATTCACTCTTAGCACTACCAAAGTTTCTCTCTCTCTCTCTCTTATAATCTTTCCACATTTATCACTACTGAATAACAACCGAGAGCAAGGAAGAAGCATAATCCATCTGAAGCTAAGTCATTTTGAACTCTTGTTAGCTCAAGGGATCGTAAGATCACTTCGTTTTAAAAACGGTTAAGTTCGGCTGGAACATGCCCAGTGCGGGTTCTGCAGCATAACGAAGCTTCCTTGCTGAATCGGATGAGATGTCTCAATGCAGTTCAAAGTTTTCACTTCGTTGGGACTGGGTTAACAGGTTGGGGGGTTGTCAGGTTTATCTTAGTAATAAGAAAGCTGCCACGCAAGTAAAAGCTGACCTTGTGGTGGTTGGCTTTCATTTCTCAAAAACGCTGGTTATTTTATGAATGGTGGGAGTAAGTGAATGAGTTCTCTGCAGCAACACACTTGAATCCCAGCTGAAATGCAGTGAGTGCTTGCAAAACTCTCTGTAGAGAAAGCTTCTTAACTGAAGGGTACAGGAATAAAGGGGTTTTCAGCACCTAGAAGATAAACAGCTCTGGTAAGTGGCTCTTTTTTCCTGGCCAGGAAGGCGCTAAACTAAAATAGGGATTCCCCACTTTTTGAGAACTTTGCAACATGGATTAGATAGAGGATTGTGCCTACATGCCTGTGTATATGTAGGTTGGTGGGGTGTCTGTTCTCAGGTTTGCTTCCAGGTAGTGAGAACAGGATTGCTCGTATTTCTTACCTGGGAATAAGTCCCATTGAACTCTGTTAGGTCTACTGTTGAGTAGACACTGATAGACTTGCATTGTAATTGTGGAAGGTGTGCCAGTCATCCAACAACCACTTAATCAGCTGTAAGAAGTATCATCTCTCATGTGTCTGATGAAGTGGCCTACAGTTCACCCAGGCTTTGCTCCAATAACCCCACTGGTTTTTAGGGTGCCGAACGATGTGCATGTGTGAATCTGCTCTTGATAGCTCTTTTCATTTCATACCAGTTGTGCTAAGAGTTCCTGGGTCCAAGACTATATTCCACCCAAAGTTGGTGACCATCTCTCAGCCTATCTCATAGGCAAGGCTGGAAAACTGGTGGTCTTCCAGATGTCTGTAGGCTTCCCTTCCTATCTTTTCAGAACAGCATGACCAGTAGTCAGAGGTGGTAGAATTGATAGTCCAATAACATTTGGAGCAGGAGGTGTCCTATCTCTGCCCAGAGAGTCATGTGAGCAAGTGGTTGGACTTGATGGCTTATCAAGTCCAATGAATGGTGAAGTGCTTCCTGACAGTCAGGACCCCGAGGGTGTGGAATGGGCTTCCACAGGAGGTCGTTGAGGCCCCATCAGTGAGGATGTTCAAAGATAGGCTGGACAGCACATGGCGGGCAAGTTGTGAGTGGAGCCGGCTGGAGCCGGGAGGCAGATTGATTGCCCAGGAGGCCCCTTCTGACTCACTCTGTTTCATGTTTCTATACATCCCCTTCCAAATCTATGGTTCTGTGAGACAGAATACATATGTAATTGTGTCTACTAAGCTTCCCCAGTCTAATGCCCTCAAGATGTTTGGGACATCCGCTCTCAGAACACCATGGTGGGGAAGATTGAACAAATAGGAGAACCAATGTGATGTCATGGTTAAAGTTTACAGTTAGGACTGGGGAGATCCAGGTCCCCTCCCAGCTGTGAAGATCGCTGGGTGAAAGTCTGGTCAACCCCAGAGGATTTTTGATAAGGTAAAATGGAAAACACTGTTTGCTGCCTTGATTTCCTTAGAGGGAAGCTGTGATGCATGTAATAAAGAAATGCTATAAAGGATAGAGAACAAACAGTAATAATAAATGGTGATTTGGTGTCTTGATTTAACTCAGCCTGTGCCAGTACCTGGATGTTCCCAGATCAAGCACCCAAATACACAAAGAAAAATTGTATGTGGTTGCCCTGCAGCAGGTACATGGTACATGTCTCTCATCACTTAATAGACACTGTGAGTCCCTGCTCACCTGGGAGGTCTCTCACATCAGGGGATGGTTTTAGGGAGTAGACTTTAGCACCAAATCTCTTTCTTCAGAAAGTAAGCACTGAATATACTCTCTTAACCCCTGCCCTTAAAGTGAGGGAGGGGGGGAGAAGACTTGAAGAAAACTGTACCTGGGTTAGGACTGCAGGTCGAGTTCCATTCCTATCCATGAAATGAAACAAGTTTGGGAAAGATTAAAGGATGTGAAAAGCTCAAAAAGAAGTGTTAGGAAGGTAGGACACGCTCCAATGGAGCGAAACTCAGGGAGTGAAGGTTCCATTTGGATGCTAGGAAGCACTTCCTGACAGTTAGGACCCCAAGGGTGTGGAATGGGCTTCCCCGGGAGGTCGTTGAGGCCCCGTCGGTGCGGGTGTTTGAAGATAGGCTGAACATGCACATAGTGGGCATGTTGTGAGCAGAGCCGGCTGAAGCCAGAGGTCAGACTAGAAGGCCCGGGAGGCCCCTTCTGACTCGCTCTGTTTCTATGTTAGTTGGTTGGGTGTGCAACAATCTTTTTGCAATTTTATATTTGGATTAAGTGGATCTAATGTGACATATGAAATGACACATTCCAACAGTACCAGCTTACCTTACTGGACAGCTACTCCTCTCAAAGCTGGATGAGTCCTAACTTTGTCTGGCACCCAGCATGTCCTTGGGGTCCTGTCAGCATCCAGGGCATGGGCAGCTGACTAACAGGCAGGTACACTGGAACCAGGCAACCAGGATAGGGCTCGAGGTTCAGTCCAAATCATAATAATGCAGTCTGAGATCAGTGCCAGGAGAGCAAGGTAGAGTTAGTCCAAGAAGCAAGTGTGGTCGAACAAGCCAGGAGTCAGAAAACCAAGAAGACAATGCCAAGGGGAGCAGATACATGAGGACTGGAGCAGGAGAAGGAGCAAGCAAGGACCAGGACACCGGACAGGGTCCAGGAACAGAGTCCAAGAGTCCAACAAACAAGAAGCACTCCTGCAAGTCAGAAGACCTTTATTGCCAAGGCAGCTTCTGGTGGGAAAAGCCAGTTCTTCCACAGCTCTTCCCCCAGGGCTCTCAGGTAGTGCTCATGAGAAGCTGTCTTGAGTCTTGACAGGTCCCGACCTACCCTGTGATGCAGCTTACCTGGCACTGGCCAAGTCTTTGCTTCTCTGGTCACCTTACCTGGAAAAGGGCATTACCGCGTTGGAGAAAGTGCAAAGAAAGGCAATGAAAATGATGAACAGGTTGAAGCAACTCCCCAAGAAGGTCTAAAGAAATGAGTGGAGAAATATTTGCATCGACTTGGGGAAACCTGATGATCTGTACTCCCATTTAAGATCTTTTGACATATTAAGGACCAGAATAGACATCCCTGTTCCATGCTTGAGAACTCCAACTTCAAATGTCATCTCGACTGTGTCCATCAAAGATGAATCAACATGGATAGAAATTCCCCCCCTTTTCAGGTAGTACCCTAATAGACATTGGTGCATGGGGGTGATGTCTCCAACAATCAAGATAGGCTTGGGATGAAACTCTGTGGAATCCATCCTTCTAGCATTCTCAGGCTTCTTCTTACGTTCATCCTGGTCTTAGAAAGAGAGCCTAGCAGAGAGGAAGCCTGTGAATTCTCATGGAAGAAGGTTGCTCAACCAACAGCCAATACAGCTACACATG